TTTTTAACTTTATACTTTGCTTTATTTTATCTGCATGTGATTAACTGTTTAATTGCTAAAATAAGTAAAGTTGGTAATGACACAGATCTGTTTTACAAAACCTAAAACTTTCCTGTATACATTCCGCTGCGTATGACTCACACTGGCGGCGAGCCTATTCTTATCTCTTTTTTTATCGTCGGCTTCTTAGTTCTTCCGGAAAATTCATGACATCTTCAGCATTCATATGTTTTTGTGCTTTGACCAATAATTCTGTCATAGTACTTGGGGGATCCTTTGATACAGAGAACTAGAATTTGGAGGGTTGTAGTCCTCCCACGAAGGCTGTATGGGCCACCTTGTCATCCACTTCATCAACCTGTAACATCTCGGTAGTGAATCTGCTAATAAAATTACGCAACGACTCCCCTTTGTCTTGTTTAACATTCAACAGATAGGTAGGTGGTTTCATGCGTCTCCTTCTTACAATAAAATACCCAATGAACTACTTACTGAGCTAATCAAAATCGTAGATAGATCCTTGTTTCAATTTATTAAACCAAACCCGGGCTGCCCTTTTAAGTGCAGTAAGGAAAGCCCTGCACATGATCTTATCTGGAATGGCTTACAAGTACATAAACGACTTGAAAGTTTCTAAGTGGTCGAGAGGCTCGAGTTTTGTTGAAACTCTCAAGGTGAGGCATCTTGAACTTTTTTGGTAGTAGGAGAGCCATAATTCGACTGGTGAAATATAGGCGGGTTAGTCTTTTGAACAAGGTCATCCACTGTAGCAGGCCCCTTTCCCTTCAAGGCTTGGGCCATCCCTTCCACTTTTAACTTGAGATCTTGGATCTTTTAGTCCATATAGGTAGCTTCGATGTGTTCTTTAACATAAGAAACATCCTCTTGGTATTGAGGGTTGGAAGTACGCAACTTTCTTTGTCAGTCTCCCGCTTCTGCTTTGTCAACATCATCATTGCCTTTAATACGTACGAGGGGGATATCTAAGTGTTGCATAATTGCCGCATTTTGTTGGACTAATTGATTTTATTCCTTGACTAAAGTTATGAATTTGTTGTTCCAACGCTGCATCACGTTCCCCGTCGTTTGGAATACGCCTAGGCACATTCTCATGATGGGAAGCATGGGACTGGGTACCGCGTGAACTGTCTTTCCCATGATGGGATTGGCTATGGCGACTGCCATCATGGCGTGACTGGTGACCTCGGCCATGGTGTGACGGGTGGTGTGACTGGTGACCTTGGTCATGGTGTGACGGGTGACCAACGTCGGAGTGGTGATCACTATTATGGTGTGACTTATGATTACCATCGTGGTGTGATTGTTCACCACCGTCCAACTGGTGGTTGCCATGGTATAATTGGTGTCCACTATCTGACTGGTTACCGCCATCATGGTGTGGTTGAGGTTGATTTCCTACTTGAGTTCCAGATCGTAACTCGAGAACCATTGCAAAGGTTCCCACAGACAGCGCCAACTGATGATGCAAGATTTCGCAACCCGGAATGACATCGTACCTGGAAAAGAAAGAGAAAGGTGATCGAAGGGCACTGGTGTCATGGTGTGGTACTAGCCTAAGAGTTTTTGACAATCAAGTTAGTGCTAGATCAGGAGGGTGAAAAGAAGGTGAAAGGACTTTCTTAGGGATTTGTGTCGTACCTTTTGAGTTGCCCAACCTCTCTTTTTATAGGAGAGTTAATAGAAGTATTTACCTAGGTAACTACTTCTCTTGACTTTTTCATCATGTAGTGAAAGAGTTATAAGAAAGAATAATCATCTTTATCATTGTCACTTGTAGTTTATTCAACCTCTTAGACTACACGTGGCTTGGACTTCCTAACCTCTTGGACTACACGTCGCTTCGACTTCCTAGCCGAAAGAATATTTTTTTTTTTCCTGGGTAAAATGGAAAATTTCTATAGATATAAACAAAATTACAAATCATCAATAAGGCATCCCTTGGAAACAAGTTGTCTATTGACAACTAGAGGATAAACACAATAAGTGTCAATTAGCTAGAGACTGAGAGCATAACTCTCCCATCTCCATCCCAGACAACATTAGGACCTCTCCACAAATAGCTCTAGCAATTTCCATAGCAGTTCTTCGAACCTCCTGATGTAATCGCAAATTCCTCTCATTCCATACATACCAAATAGTAGTTGCACAAATACGTTTTTGGGCCTTATGTTTTATTCCTTTGGTGACAAACCAATCCACTAATTGAGTTAACAAAATGACTGAAGGCATATTCCACCCAAGACAACCATTGCCAAATTGCTTTAGCAAATGGACAATTGACAGTAAGATGATCTACATCATCGGCTGAGTTCATGCAGTTATGATAGATAGACACTAAAGGCAGCCCCCTTTTTCTTTAGATTTTCAAAGGTTAAAAGCTTATTCTGCATTGCCAGACAAAAGACCAGAGAAGCTTTAGGTCTCGCTCCACTCCAACAAACTGAAAACCACTGCACCTCTGGGTGTGGATTTCTTCACCTATTCCAAACATTTCCAAAAGAGAAGACACCATGTCTCCACTGAAACCTGTCATCACCTTGCTTAAATGTCAGAGAAAGAGCAAAGTTCTTGAACTGGTGTAAAGTATTGGAGTTCTGATGTGGGAATATTCCGTATCATATACTAATTAAATCTTACAATTAAGCTCACAATTAAAGTTATAAATTTTATGCTCCAATGATTTATTAAACTCTTAAACCTATTCTATTTCCGGTTCTAAAAATTTAACTTTACCAATAAGATTTAATTTTCTCTTATCCAAGTTCTTCTAAAGTTTTATTGGTGGCTGAAACTTCAAATTTAAAAATATTTCTATCAAGTTTTGCAAGTCTCATTTTTTTATAACAAATTTTCATATTCTCTTTCCAATTTAAACCATTCCCTCTTGAGGCCAAAGAATTCATACAGAGATTGTCCATGCATAACGGTTCTGACATCATTAAATGGAATCATGACAATCTACTTTGAAGGCAGCTTGGAAAATTTGCAGATACAGAAATCAGATTCTCAATTGGCCTGCTCTTTGCTAGAAACATTGCCGACCCAGGTTGCTGTTACTGTCACTATAATTTTGCATAACAAGAATCTGACTTTTGTGAGCATGAAGATAAGAGGCCTACCTCTTATTGCCATATGTCATAACTGCTTCTCTGACGAAGATTCCAATGATCATCTATTATGTTATTGTGTTCTAGCTTCAACTGTTTGGAGTAGTTTGTTTGATATATTGCAGCTTGTGTTGCCTACGTTCAGCTCTCTGAACAACATTGTGGATTGGTTCTTACTTCACCATACTAGTAACACAATTAAGTCCAGGATCATATGTTTCATTTTTTCTTATACAATATTTGAAAACTGTGGTCGGCAAGGAATTCTTCTCTTCACACCGGGGTTAGGGAACAAGCCTCAAATCTTGCTTAGGCTATCGTGTGGGATGCTCTGTCATATCTCAATTTTAGTCTCATGGATCTTGTAGCTGCGGTTTGTTCTTAATGATGTGCTTTTTTGTCTTTCCTTTCTTGGCGTTTATTAGAAATGGGCTTATTCCATTTCTTCTTTTATATAAGGAGGTACGCCTCCTCCTTGTTTTGTAACTTTTCTAAATGCATTCTTGCTATAGACATGGAGATTTGAGGTGTTTCATTGTTTTCAAATTAGAATTAAATTAACTAAAATACAGTAACTAAAAATATTGAGCATACCAAATATAAGTTGAACGATGCTAAAGTGGTTAAATAATTTAGTAAAAATTTATGGTCCTAAGACCTAGGGTTAATTATCCACATTGATTAACAGTTTAATTTAAACCAATCAAAAATGAACATTCAAGTAAGTAAGTAAAGGAAAGAACACTATATATTTTTTTAACTCAAGAAAGGAAAAACATGGAGACAAGCGGTGTGGAAAAACATTAAGAACTAGTTATTGAATATCCCAAACGACTCCAAAAAACTCCTCATTCAGTTGTTGCGGGCACTTGGTTGAATGGATCTTCTCGGAAACGGACTCGTCTAACTACACTGGAAAGTTCGGCAACTTATTCTACTTTATTTATTGGATGCTTGACCTTGATCAAAATTAAAATACACTTCACGTTCAAAAATTGGGACAGCTTATGGATGATGGAGCAGTTTTTATTCATTGTTACAACCAATTTTTTTCATCCTCACATAATTTATATCTTTATTTATTTATTTATCAACTAATGCTGAATGTCTCTTTATTGAGAATTCTTAGAAGTTCCCGAGTTTAGATTCTCTCCCTCAACGGTTGTTGCCACGGGAAAAATCAATCATTTTCCCTCATCCTCTAGCTGGGCCCTCCCACGTGTTTGGGAGATCAAATGTAATGTTGATGCCTTTTCTCTTCTAATTCTTACCTGGGTGGTGGAGGGGTTATGTTTCGTGATGAGAACGGGTTCATTCTTCATGCAGTTGTGTTGTACAAAGCTATATTAACATGGGATTTGTGGACATTTTTGTTTCCAATGGTATAGATATTTATTTTTTATTTTTAGTGATCGTGTGGAAGATTTTTTGAGAAGAATTTGATATTGATTTATCCAGTGAGGAAGTTGGTACAAAAGTTATTTGATCAACTTTAAACAACAATAAGATAGGCGAAAAAATTAATTCAATCTAAAAAAAAAAAAAAAATTATTATTAACTGATATTTTTATAATAAGAAGCCACCTAGAGTGAAAAACAATCTATGGTTGGTCTTAGAAAAACTCAATCGCACTTTCTAAGTACAAATTCCAAGGAGTTTAAAGATGTCACAAGATAACATATTTATTTATCTTTTCTGTGCAGTTGTTTATGGACCATTTATCTATACAAATTTGGTCCTATGACTTCAATCTATATTGTCCTTTTTCAAAATGAAGTTTGACATGACTTCAACCAATTTGTCTTGTTACTCTAAACAGTGACAACAGTTTCTATCCATTCCATAACCAACATAATGCTTAAAACAACATAAAACAAGCAAACAAAAAATTTCGCAAAAAAAAAAACTCCAAATTATCATGTTACAAACTCTGTGGTTCAAATTAATTGAAAAAAAAGGAACAACTACTAATTAATTAGTTCAATTTTTTTGGACAGAGAAGCACTTGGTTTATCATTTTCTGTAGATTCATGTAAGATGACCCAGCTGAACTTGTGCTTGCCTCTTCAGCCAATTTCTTCCACTCCATTGCCTCCTTCTTCATTTCTTTTCCCTTATTCCCAACCATCAACTCGTTAACAAGAAGCTCAACTTCATCTCTCTTCACATCACTATCTATCTCCATGCCTATGCCCCACTTATTGCAGCAGAACCAACAGTTGGTCTGCTGCTCTGCAAAAAATGGCCAACAGATCATGGGCACTCCACAACTTATGGTTTCAAGCGTTGAATTCCACCCATTGTGAGTTAAGAACCCTCCAATCGACGGGTGGATTAGAACTTGCTCCTGTGGACACCAACTTGCTAATAAGCCCCTTTCTTTGGTGACGGACAAGAATTCCGGTGGAAGGATAGCCGAATCCCCGGAGACAAGGTCAGGCCTTATCACCCACAAAAAGGTCTGGTTGCTATTAGCAAGTCCCCAAGCAAACTCAACCAGTTGGTTGGGTGTCATGACAGCAATGCTTCCAAAATTTACGTAAACAACAGAGTTGGGTTCTTTCGTGTCGAGCCACGAAAGACATTCTGCCTCTTCTTTCCATAAATTAGATCCTATAGGCTTCAAATCATCATTGTCAACTTGGTTGATGAGTAAATGTAAAGGTCCAATTGTGTAAATTGGAGGAAACATGGACGATAGTCCGTCCACAACGTCATGCTCAAGTTCTTCAAACGTGTTGAAAATAATAGCAGAAGCTCTTTTAGCTCTCTCAACTTCATTATTGACGAACTTTATCATAAATTCATCTGGGTCTGTGGTTCTAATAAAAGTTGGAATATCCTTCAGACGTATACCTTCCATGCCTGGTATCCAATCTATAACGGCATCCAAACTCGTACCTGCACCAGAAATCAGAATTTATCTATTAGAACCAAAATATTGTAATGTAAAATTATAGTCCATAGATATAAATTATAATTATGAAGTTAGGTTTTGATAAATTAATATATTGATACCTTTGAATCCAGCAAAACCCTTTTCAATGAGATTAGGATACTGGGCATAACCCATGTAGCCACAAGCACTTGCTGTCCAGAAGAGGACTTCAGGGATGCCCAGTTCTTCGGCAGCTTCGACAGTGAAGCTCATGATTGCATCAGAAACAATGCAGGTGACCGGAGGTACGTTGGACGAAGTGGTGTCGTTGAGTTTCGAGAGGAGTTCTCTGAACGGAGTTAAGCAGTGCTTAGTGGTGGAGGCACACAGGGAGGGGATGTCTTGGGTGGCGTCGGCATCCGACGGAGGAAGGCCGTCGGGAATGGTTTCGAACCGAAACGATGAGAGGCCGTTGAGAGAGTCGGGCCCTCGGGATTTCAAGAGGCGTTGATGGTTGAATTCTGTGTTGACAAAGGTGATGTGAAAGCCTTGGAAATGGAGTAGTTTGGCTAGTTTTAGCATGGGGTTTATGTGGCCTTGAGCTGGGTATGGTATGCATACTGCATGAGGCTTCTCTAACATAGCAATGGAACCCATTTTCTCTCTCTATACGTCTATTTATCTCTTTCTCTTTCTCTGTCTCGGTGGGATGCTATTGGCAAGTGAATTAGCTTCAGTTTTATAGGCTCGCAAAGAGGGCCAAAAGTTTTTAAAATAAATAAATAAATAGAAAGTCAAATTGATCATGCTAACTTCAAAACAAAACGTCTCAGCCAATGCCAGCTGCATCAGCCCCAGATTGATGGTCGACTACGGCACTCATTTTATCTCTGTACTCCATCACCTGCATCACCATAATACTGCAGAAAATATTGTGACAGATCCATAACGCGTATTTATGTCGGCCGATTGATTAGGTTCACAAGACGGGCGGCGGTTGATCCGTACGCAATTTCAAATCCTATTCTAGAAAATACCATTTTGTTTTTATTTGTCCGAGTCGATATGCACCACAAAGATTTGCTATAGCCTATATTAATAATATACTTGGAAGATTTCATTTTTATACCTTTTCAAATAAAAAAGGATCTTTATTCTTATAAATTTGGGCTCATTTTTTTAAACCCAAAAAAATAAGTGCTCAATTTTTAATGAAGGAGATGGGATACTCAATGTTGACGGAGTTTAGTTCAAAAGATAGAAAGTGACCAACAAGGATCGAATTTAAATTTAGGGTAAATTGCATTGATGCTACGAGTTTTGAGTCAATGTTACTTAATAGACGATCAATGCATTTATTTACATTGATACCTCTGAGCTTTTAAATGTTTTTGTCTCTTATTATTTAATTCAATTATATCCACAAAATATTAATGATGTTAATTTACGATAATACCCCCGCCATTACCAAAAGCAACAATACACTCAGTCACAGCCTGCCATATCCAGTTATCCCTCTTAACACCAACACAGCCCTTTAACACCGCCACCACCACCACCTCACCCACATCAGCCCTTCAACACCACACGTCACCAACACCACCACCTCACCTGCATCAGTCGTTCAACACCACCACCTCGCCTACATCAGTCGATTCGTTCCCTGATCCGAAGCGTACGTCAACGCGTCGAGGACGTCTTGATCGCCACTGTTGTCGAAGAGAAAAAGTCATTGCCATTGGATGAGCCACCATCGCGACTGATTCACTCAACCCAGTTGCCGGAATCGATGGCGTTTTGGGATCTCTCGACGACTTTGAGGAAGGAGAAGTCGATGCCGTAATTCGAGATGTTGGTGAGTGAGGCTGATTGCCTCCCCAGGTCTCAGATCTCCGCCACCAACGCCGCCGTGTCAGGCCCTAAATCGAATTTAGTTCATTTTGAAGCTCCCTCTCTTGCATGATATATATATATATATATATATATATAAGTTCTTACGATTGACCGGTCATCTTAATTCATATCGAGTCCCAGCCAGTCACCCATCGCCGATTTCTCGTCCGGTTCAACCTTCTGATCGGTCTTATGCCTGAGGGATACTTGCTCTGCTCTATGGTAGCTCAAATATTTGCTCATTTTTCATTCTCATATTTCTCATCACATGGATGAATCTCTTCGATCACTAAAGGGTTGCCAGGCAACATATGTATGTATGTGTTTTGGGATGTTTAATTTGCTGCATATTATAGTGTGTGTGTGTGTATATATATATATGTTGGTATATAATTTGTGTATATAGTTGTGGTGGTGGTTGGGATATTGTGGTGGTCTGGGTTTTGGCATTAGTTAGGAAGGTTAAATAGGTTATTTTAGGAGTGGCTGTTAAAAAAAGGGCATGCTGGTCATTTTTTAATACTAAAGTAGTATAAAGGGGTGTGTCTTATGGCATTTGAAATTTCAAGGGTGCCAATATAAACAAGTGAAGTAATCGTCCGCTGAGAATGACCAAAATCAAGAGGTGGCAGTGTAATTTATCATTAAATTTAAGAAATTATAAGTCTGCACAATATGTTAAGGTTTATTTGGTATGCATTTTATTATTTTTGTTGGGTATTGTAGCATATTAAATAATGGAAAAAGCATGTTTGATAAAATATGTTTGGTTTTTTTATAGTAATGAAACGTTTCATTAGTAGTGGCCAAAAATTAAAACACTAATTTAGTATTTTTACATCAATATTGAAATAACGTGTATTGTAACGTTAAACGGTAGAAAATAAAAAATTAATAAAAATTGAAAAACTCTTTAATAACATTTTAAAATTAACCATTATTATTTTCATACAACATTTTTTACCAACACATATTTTTATGCTTTTTCTTTAAAAAAAAATCTTACAATAAATGGATATAATCAAACATAATTATTATTCAAAACATTTTACAACAAAATATTTATTTTATTTTGATTTAAAACGAAAATAAAACATCAACTAAGCATGACCTTAGTAAATTTGCTTGCAAAACTCACCAAACCTAAAAAGAATTCTCACATGAGGTAATTATTATTCAAAACATTTTACAACAAAATACTTATTTTATTTTAATTTAAAACAAAAATAAAACGTCAAGGCATGTAAAACTATACTCATGCAAGCTTGCAAGTAGGGTGGGCTTGGCACTCATCAGCCCAGCTGGGATTGGTGCTGCACACATGACTTGAAATTGAAACCCTATATATAAATTTCAAACACATTACCAACTTAGTTATTACTTTCTTGTGACTTAAATATAATTATAAATATATGTAATATTTTCGGGCTCGGGTTGGGTTTCGAGTTTCATCCATATCAACCCAGTTCAGTTCGAAATTAGAAAAATATTGTCCAAGCCCACAAAATTTCAAACTGAACTCGAATTATTTCAGATTGGATCCGCCCGAATTGCAACCCTACTTACAAATACTTTTGTAGGTTTATAACATAAACTTGTATCTCAACCCCTATATGTGTGTGTGAATGTGCAGTTTTTGAGATAAAGAATGCACTCCAATATGGTATCATGTAAAATCAATGCGTGAAACATTAAAATAACATAACAAAAATATTAATTTAACTGATCATATGCATAATCAAGTGTCTTCAATTTCAGTTACTTTTCATACTTCTCATATGATATTTTACAACTCTTTTGGCTCGCTTCTGTTGTTTCAATGTAAAAATTAAATTTATAAATTACTAAAAAAAAATATATATATATATATTAAATTTATAAAAGAAAATCTGCTTTAACAAATGGTCTGATCAAGACGCTAAGATTTGCACGGCGGCGGATGAAAGCAATTTAATGTTCATTATGTATCCTTTGGTCAAAAAATAATTAATATTTTTTTCGGTGAACCAATCATGTAGTAGTCTTGAAATAATATTATTATTATTATTATTTTCAGAACAAGAATATAAGAATAAGTTGTTAAAGGAAAAGGAGAGCGTCGAACACAAATTCTCATGAGAACACAAGAAGTCACTCAAATGACACTTGCATACTCCTAAAATATCTAAAAATTACTTCCTCTGTCCCAAAATAAATGTCATGTTAATTAGGGATGGCAACGGGACGGGTTTGGAGCAGAAAAATCAGTACCAAAATATTATATGTAGAATCAGCAACTGAAAAAAATAAGAACAAACCTAAATCGACTCAAAGAGCACTAACAAAGTCGTCGCTAGTGTCTCTCCCTCTCTCATGAATTGTGAAATAGTAAATTGAGTCCAAACAACAATTGATCGACTAAAAAATAATGGATTTTCTTCTTACCAATCTCTCTCCTTCTTTACTCCTTCGTCAGAAGACAAACCCACCATTATTCACCACCACAACCCTCTTTCTCCTCACCTTTCTCCATTAACAAAACCCAGATCTTCTCTCTAACTCGTGTTGCGCAGGTCACCCAAACCTCAAGTACACAGGAAAAACTTGAAGAGAATCAAGAGATCTTACCAGAGATTCAAATGAATCATCGATCTCAACTGCCTAAGTGGACCGAGAGTTTGGTTTTTGGGTAAGATGCGCCAACCCCTGTGTTGTGAACTTGCGGATGTGGAGGCACTGCTACTGTGCATTAGGGTTATAACTTATATAGAGTAACTTATAATATGTATGTGTGTGTATATATATATATATATATATATATATATATATATATATATATTTTAAAATTTAAAGAATTGTATATAACGGGGCGGGGCAGGGCGGGGCGGATATGAATCAGAACCCGTCCCCGCCCCGTGACTCGCGGTGGGTAGACAAAATGTATCCATACCCGCCTCGACGGTATAAAATTTGTTTCCATATCCCGTTATTAACAGGACGGAGCTTCGGCGGGGCGGTAAAAATTGCCATCCCTAATGTTAATAAGAAGGGAACTCAGATTTGAATTCACGGGGGCATAGTGGGAAATTATAATATTTTTTTTTTAAAAAAAAAGAATATAAAGGAGAAAAAGGGAAAGAAAAATGAATTTTAAAAGAAACAAATTAGAGCATGATTAAATAAGGGGAATTTAACCTTTTTAAAAAGGTAATTAAAGAAATTTAAAGAGTAAAAGATAAAAAATAGAAAAAGTTTTTTAAAAATTTAGAAACTAAAAATTTTAGGGGCATAAAAATAAAAAATAAAAAATAAAAAACTAAAAATAAAAAACGAAGTAGAAGAAGAAGAAGGAGGAGGAGTAAAAAACCATATATATGCATAGGGCAGGGCAGGGGGCACATGCCCCCCTAGGCACAAGATGGCTCCGCCCCTGCATGTTAATGTGAGTCACAATTATCAAAATATGACATTTATTTTGCGACAGATGAAATATATTATGTGTAATCAATCAACGGGCCAGTAGTTTAGCGGTATCAGTGTCTTATTTCTAAAGTGAGGTCAGGGGTTTAAATCTCAGAATAAACATGTGTGTGTGAATACCAACTAAACAAAAAATAAAAAATTATGAATAATTCCAAATTTTCAATATTTTCTTGTGGTTGTATTTAGATGGAGTTGTCCTCCTATTGTAGCCAGAAGGTAGACAAATGTAGGAAAAACAAATCTTCCTAGCATAGTATTACGTAGTATTATTTGATCTCAACACCAGAAGTTAATTATCATTAGTGTTTTCATTCAGGGACAAGGCCTTTCACATCCCG